TTAAATTTTTATTTGATATTCATATTTAAAAATTAAAAAACTATAACAACAAGAGTATGTAACAAAAGAGGATAATTCTTTCTTCAAATTTCTCTTTCACCTAGCTAAAAGGTTGCTATTTAAAGTATTAAATTCAAAATCGTTGAGATATTGTTAGGAAAAAGAATGTATTTATTTTGATTCACATACACACATGAATGTCAATGCATTTTTTATTAACATAACTATGATTGTCAATGGGTTTTGATTGAACCAAGGGATTCAATTACATTGAATTCCAAGTGAAAACGGTTTTTGACCCATAATGAGAGTGAGAGTGACAAGCTTTGAATTCTCATACCAATTGTATTGTATCAAGTAGGGCAAAAGAAAAGGCAAAGAAAATCAATGCTGCAGATGTACTAAACTTGAAGTTTGACTTGAAGAGGCATTTAATATGGAGCCATCCCCAATTTATTTTATTTTATTTTATTTTATTAGTGACTTTGAGATAAAGCAAAGATAGTAATAAGGTAGACTGAAAAACAGTTGAAGCAAATGCAGATCAGTACTGCCTACCCATGGCAGTGGTCAGGGACCACTGTGATATACCTTAAAGTAGCTGCCTTAACTTAAGTGCACATGGACATGGTAGTCTTTGAGTGTTATATACATAATAAAACAAGAAGGTTAAATGACAGCAAAGATCATTAATTAAGGATGGTGATTGGTGAGTATTTACGTTAGAGTTTGCATTACATTTTTGTCATGAGATATTCTATTTTTTACCTATATTACAGTTTAGTTCTTGTAATTAAGTACTCTTATTAAGGAAGGGGTTAACCCCTACTTGTTAGTATACTAACTTGCTATTAGTCAATGCGGGATCTTTGCACAGTTCATTGGGAGCTATGAAGAGTTTATGCTCTACATCATTAATTGTCCCTGCATTTGGTTTTTTTAAGTTCATGTTCAATAGTAATAATTACTAATGTTATACAAGGGGGTTTTTCCACATTTTTTGAACAAGAAAATCCCATTTTGTCTTCTCTCTTCTGTCTTGCATCAGGATAAAATGGCAGAAACGCCAAAAGAAGATGCTTACACCCTTAATACGGCCATCTCCAGATAGAGGATAATTTAAGAGGGCAATGGATAAGTTGCAGTCGTTCCATCAATCACTACTATAACAAGAAGAAAACATAGCAAACAGGAAAAAGCTACATGAATCATTACAGTAGTAGGAGTCGTTTCAGAAGATAAACACCATCAATCAGCTTATCTCCATTATCCCTGAAATGATGTCTAATGACCAAAGGCCTGTATGTGTACATCTGCTTGTCATGAGTGATCCCATCATGAAATGACTTTCCATGCTATTTATTTCCGCTAGAATGTCTTCATTTTACCTCAACAACAACCGAACATGTCATGTGACATGATAATTCTAGAAGATCGCCAACTTTTTCTGACAAACCTGAAGCTCATCAGTTTCATGGTAATTATATGATCTCTCATCTCAAGATACTGATTAAGCTGATGAATACTTACACCATAATTGGGCTTCATGAATGTATTATGTATGTAGGTTAGCTCATCCATCGAACCCTCTGAATGTAGGTCTGAGCCACAAGAACTGAAAGGCTAGCCTAAAAACCAGTTACTCCATCATACGCAACCTTTCTGCAATGTTTTGACTGAAATGGGGAAACATGTTTTGAAAATAAAACATGAAAAACATAAATATCGAAACAAGTAAAAGTTTAGAGCAAGCTGTCTAATTATTACGAGAGAACTTCCAAGGAAATATATTCATATGCATTCCTCGAAAGGCGGGCTATTGAAGTCACATTATTAGGTGAAACAGGAAAAGAAACATCAATTAAAAGTCACAGCATTCCAACAAACACATGTATGCTTTTATTAATGTTAATTAAAGCAGCTACAGAGGAGGGCTGCTATAGGAGCGTGAATAAGAAAGAGGACAGAAGTACAGAAGAAAAATGACCTTTTTCCAACCCCATCTCCATCTATCCAAAACAAAATGCCAAAAACCTAGCTGGATTCTTTGCATTTGTTAAAGAAAAAGGCTGTTCTCCTCTTGATGACAAGACAGAGAATTAAGAGTGTATACAGCCCATTAAAGGAATAGTGAATAACTACAGTTATAAACCCATATGGGAAAAAAATGATGTAAAAATTCTCCTGTTTCTTAGGTTGGACTCATCTGATCTTCCTCTACCTTAAAAAGCTGCACTTCTATTTTGTGAGGAACACGGAAGTAAAGGTTCTCGTATTTTCCGTTAAAAGGGCAGGTAATCAAGTGAACTGTGCCAATTGTTTTTTTTTTTTTTTTTTCATCTCTTTTATGTTCAAGAACTTAGATTTTTTAGACTATTTTCCACGTGCATTAACTAATTCATGATTCATCACAGAAGCTCGTCTTTTAGTGATTGAAATCAGAGAAGTAATGGCTCTAGGATTGCCAAAATGTTTATTGGCTATCAGTTATGAGGGCTTAATGAGCATTCTGATAGATGTACTTTCCCTTGTCTTATATGTTCTATGTGTGTACAGCTGCATTGGGTCGATGAAGGGACAGTTGCTACTGTCCATAAACACAAAGATGGAGGGTCTTTCAATAGATATTTCAGTATAAAAAGAATTGCAGTCTATGATAGACAAATCTATCCAGCTCCTCGCCAGAGTTTTTCTTTCCAATTCCGTCTTCTTGCTTTAGTAGCTCTAATGTCTTCCAATATCCCTGGAGGCACTGAAGAAGAACACAGCAGCAGCGAGTCCGGGTGGACTAAATACATTGGCTCGCCCTCCTCGGAAACTCTTTACTCTGATGAACAGGAAGACATCTACAACAACAAGAACAAGTGTGAGATTAACAATGATAACAGCGATAGTGATCAGGAGAGTGATGATTCTATGGCTTCAGATGCGTCTTCTGGACGAAGTCATCACAAACTTCCAGGAAAAAGCAGTAAGCAAAGTCATGCAGGGATGGATTGTTACCAGAAAGCAGCTAGTAAGTATTCCTCTGAAGAGAAATTGCCCAAACAGGTGATCAAAGACCAAAGAAGTAGCAAAACAGATAAGAAAGAGTCAGTGCTGAAGGCAAAGAATGCTGCTAGTCATGTTTCAAAAGTGAAGCAAAGGTAAGGATAAGCCAGGGAGAATAGGCCTTACCCATATTTCCCCATTCTCATATAATGTGTTTCGCTGCGTTATCACAATATATTCCAAGAAGATGAAAGCTAGCACATCAAATCTATGATTTTGGAACTTTCAGTGTGACTGAGTACTGGTGAAGATGTTTGAATGTATTTTATGGGTTCTATGAAGCATCTGTACATGAGCCCTACCACCCTTGTGAGTATTATTATTTTCTGCAAAACTAAAGTATTCCTAATATCATTATAAGAATTGAAGTTTATAGCTTCTATAAAACAGTGACCATATATGGTAAGAAGCATTCTTCCATATGTGTGTGTACAAAAGAATTGCTGCAACATCGACATACAAGGCATTAGACACTGAAATGAATTGTGAACAGACAAATAGCGTTAAGGTAAGCAGTTTTCTTGGAGAAACTTGTTTATGGTGCTTTACTGTTCTACTCTACAGATCCTGGAAGATATTTCTATGACTTGGTTGGGAAAATAACACAATATTGAAGTGTTTTAAAGCTCCCTAACTTTTCATCCTGGGAAAAAAAACGCTTCCTAAACTTCATAGCTCTTTGTAACTTCAGATATACTCTTCTTACAAGCAAAAAGAAAAAAGAAGACTTTTCCTGTCGTCTTGTCTTAAATCTTTTCTTTGGCAAAGTGTTATATAGCTTCATTCTAAGTGGATGTCCTTCAATGCACGTATGAATATTAAGGACGGATAGACTCGAGTATAGACTCGTGAAAAGTTTTCATGATAGGAAGGTAGACCTACATACAATAGAAATATAAATCAATCCGTGTAATAGGATGAATAAAATTGCTCAAGGACAAAACAGTCCTCAGAAAGTCATGTGCACCATGGTCCCCAACATTTCTTGTCAGGCTGATTTATCAAATATATGACTGTTCCACAGTCTTCAAAAGTTTCCGTGGATCAGGCAAACAATTAACCACAGTAAGTGCACATTAATTTGGCCCTATTTCTGAAAGAGTTTCTAATTAGTCCTTACTAAGCTCAAGAGGGTGAAGGGAGCGAGTTTTGGTTAGTGTACAACAACCTTACTGCATAGAGATTTATATAAATATAAACAAATATGAATGAGAAAAAGGAGGAATAAATGAATTACTCAACTACTAAGAAATTAGTACTGTGAGTTAATTGTTTAAATTCATCATAGATATAATTTAAATATGTAACTATATATTACTATAAATTATGCTTTCGTTCTTAGGCTATAAAGTTATATTATAGAGATTTTGATGTGATATTTTTTTAATTTTAAACAAAATCTCTATTTTTCCATGAAAAAAAAAAGGACAAAACATCAATTTATATAATAGTCATATCCAGCGATCAGATATAACTAAACAAATGACATCAATCTTGTTACAAGAATTCTGAAAGCACACAAGCATCAATATGACACTAGGTTTTTAGATAGAACAAGCAAAGGACTCTGGTCCCTGGAATCCATATACAGGGAGATTCCCTTCTTCTCTAGCTTTTTCAACAGTCTCATCAACTTTTGAGTCGGTCCTGTTATAAACAGGTATTGGGAATCCTTTCTCAGCAATGTTAAGGGCCAAGATTTTGGCCCACAATCGCAAGGCTATGAACCATGAAGGCCAATTCTTGTTAGGGCAACCATTTCCTGTTTCTTCTCCAAGAAAAATTTCTCCATAGTGAAAAATCTCCCCTGTACAACTAATGAACTAAATAAATCTATGTGAAAATTGCCCTGAAATCAAATGCATGCAAACAGTTGTTTAAGCTCAAACTCATAATACTCAAACAATAATAAGTCATTTCAATGTTAACTGAGGTCAGTTATGACATTACAAGCTTCTTTTGTCAGCAAATGGTCAATTCTACAAACCTTTGATTCTAATCATAAGAAACCAACTAAGGGGAAAAGATGTCAACTTTGATTCCTAAGAAAAGATCATAATTATCCTAACATTCTTCCATCAAATAAAGCAGTATGATCTGTACAAGTGAAGCTACCTAAAATCTTCAAGGAGGAGGAACCATAAAAGGGCTCAACTTTATGATCGAAAACTAGGAACAACAACATACATGCACTATGCATTGCACCCCCTTCATATAGAACTCATACGTGAAAACAAAACAAGAGATGAAGCAAATATACCTTATGGAAGGTGACAATGCCGAAGTGGGTATTGCAAGCAAAAGGCAGAAGAATTTGATGGAAACAATTCGACATTCTCCCTTTTTCTCTGCTCTTTTTTCTTTCCCATTTCTCACCTTTTTGAAATTTTCAACAAAATTGCAAAAAATTTTTTTATTTAGTTGGGTCCCACCATTTCCCGCCAAACTTTCAAGCCTTCACAGCCACCCAACGAACTGTCCATAACCACCACAAATGCCAAAACCTTATAAACATAACCATTCCCAATCTTCATTATCCATTTCTCCTCCGTCTCCGATCTATCCCTTCCAATTCCTCACTCGCCAAAGAAATGCTCGCACGTGGAGTTATCTCAGCCACTTTACGGTCTGCTTTCCAATCTCCCACCAGCAAATACTCCATCTCCGACGGGGACCTCGAGTCCCGAGGCTTCCTCTTCCGCCGCACCATTTCTGGACTCAACCTCGACCACCTCAACTCAGTTTTCGTGGCTGTGGGATTCCCGAGACGGGACCCAGAGAAGATCAAGCTGGCCTTGGAACACACCGACTCCCTGCTCTGGGTGGAGTACAGCAAGACCCAAAAGCCGGTGGCTTTTGCCAGAGCGACGGGGGATGGCGTGTTCAATGCTATAATTTGGGACGTGGTAGTGGACCCATCGTTCCAGGGGATCGGACTAGGAAAGGCTGTGATGGAGCGCCTCATGGAAGACCTTTTACAGAGAGGGATTTGTAACATTGCACTGTATTCAGAGCCCCGAGTTCTAGGGTTTTACCGGCCTCTTGGGTTCGTGGCTGATCCAGACGGGATCCGAGGAATGGTCTACTCCAGAAAACAGAGAAAGAAAAAGTAAAAGAACAGATTTGATCATTTTTTGTGGGTTGGTTTTTATTGACAGTTTGATTAATATAAAAATATAATAGAAATGTTTTATGTGCAGTACAAATTGTAGAGGATTGCACAAAGCTAACCATTGATGGAGGAGAGCCCTGAAAGTGGAGTCATTTGCCCCATCAATTGTTGCTTTTTTGCAATCCAGACTGCAAAAAAGCGTTCTGAAAATAAAATTGCTTTACAGTCTTCTGTGCGTCAATTTATTCTAGCTCTAATTGCAGATACCAGCTTTATTGAAATATGTTACAAGAAATTTGCGTTTGATAATAAGTACAGTGCAATTTATTACAGAAATTACTGAATTCTGGATGAATTAGTATTACCACATTCTCAACTCAGATATGTCAGCACACCAACTTTATTAATCCAGTGTTACACATGCTCAAATTCACTGTTTTATAGCGTAGAAAACTAACAAACTGCATTTTTGAACTTGTTACTTCTTAACTCCTTTTGCCACTGAAAGAAACAAACAAACAAAAAGTTCAATAAATCATGAAACTGAGTTGAAGAAGATTTGTTAAAAGATATTGATAAAGTTAGACATGTTGAAGTTAGGAAAGAATTACAATTCACAATTTTATCCTACAAGTACTTATTCACTTCTGATAGCTTGCACAAAACTTCTATACAAGACAAGAACTGATACATGGAAGATCACCAAGTGCTTTATTCCTACTTGGGTTTCTTCCTTGCAAATGTAGGTTCATTTTCCCAGTTGTCCTGATTGGTATGACAGAATTAGGAGGTCAGAAAGGATAGATGTTACTGTCAATGATTGACTGAGGATGCAGTAACTATGCTTATAGGGAATGGCAGCAGGTGACAGTGATAATGGTAATGTTGGTGACTAGCTCCTCCAACCGTAACCTTCATAGCTTTGACAGTACTAGGATCATCTATGAGCAGTGACTATTGAAAAACTTGATGGTGCTGCTACTGTTATAAGCACAAATGGCAATATGGGCGAGATCACGTGGGTTCTAATTATGACAGTGGTGAGAATGGTTGTAGCTTGACAATTGCATACCTAGTTCATACAAATATGCTCATTTATATATATATATATATATATATATATATTCCTGTGGCACTGGGACTAAAAGTCTAAAACTGGTAAATAGTTCCTGTCCTTTCTTCAATAGAAAATGTCTAGCAGACAAACAGCCAGCTGACTTAAATGCTTTCTGACCCATACTTTTGCAAGAAATTCCATGAATTCTGAAATTAGTTGAACTACTGATCATGTCATTACTTCACAAATTATTAAAAAAGAAAAAATAAATAAATTAACCAATCAACACTGTTTAGGACTGAAATCAAAAAAATTACAGACACCCAGAAGCCAGATACAACAAAGAAAGATATAGGGACTGGGTTTCAGCATTACCTGTTCACATGTAGGTGCAGACTAGGAGACATACTTGGCGTTGTGCCAGAAAGCAGCAGAGCAAAGAATGGAAGCAATGGAAGCGAAAATCCCCAGACCGATCATCAGAGAAGCCCCGGCCACCACCAAATCCATTATGCACTGCAGGCTTAGACCCATTAATATCACCATCTTTCTAGCACAAATTCCTCAGGATTTGAAGTGAAAGATGAAATTTTTCGAGGTGGGTTTTGTTGTTCCCGCTGTTGAAAGAAGGATGTAGGAGAAACAATGTCGATGTTATATAACTGAGGCAGCCCTGAGTAGAAAGAGATAAGCTTTTCTCCTCGGGACAAATGGCCATGTTATTTTGCTGACGCAAAAAATTGGCACTTTATATTTATACAATTATACCATTCAAATGTTCCTCAATTCTGAATTTACAGCACCCAGCTGCTTGCTAATGGTGCAACTCTAGAGTTTTAATTAAGTACTGTCCGCTATGAGACGTCTAGTAATTAAAACTTTGAGTCTTTGAGTTGAAATATGAGAGAAGAATTTAAGGAGGAGATGTTATTTTGTTGTATAATTAAAAAAAAATCAAATTAAGTAGTGAAATTTCAATATTAACTTGTGAGATATTCCATTTTAATTTTGAATTATATAATGAAATTCAATTTCTATTATCTTTTTAACCTATTTTACTCACATTCAATGCAATGATTTCAAAAAATTTTATCAAAGCCTGTGAGATATTCTTTATAACCATGGTTTGTGGTGGCTAAATTGTCATTAGCTCCAATCCATGATCATAATTAAGATCATCTTGAAATAAGCTTCCACAAAAATTCATAAATGACTTCTTGAAAGTTTTCATGTTCAAATCTTTAATCAAAAAAATCAAAGCAAGTTTATACCGTTCCAGAATTCAATTCATAGTATCAGGATGAGATTGAAAAATAATATAGATAAACTTACTACCACCCTTACTTCTACAATATATGATGCAGAACTGCAAATTTTTTGAATGACGGAGCTGATGATCCCAATAAAACCTGCAAGGTTTCACAGGAGGAATCAGTGAGGCTGTCCCCACCATCTTGTTCTTTCTTCCTATTTCTTTAACAAGTAGAAGCTGCACCTGAACGGTTATAGCTGCCTGATTATAGTTTTGCTGGACTTATCACAATTCCTTCTTGGGGTGAGCACCGGCTTCTGTCAAGTTGATGCTCTCTGTTTCTTTTCACATGCTGTATCTGCATTAGGTCTTTCAATGTCATCATCATCTGATTCGCTGCCAGAGGTTCACAGCCTCACACTGTAATAGCTTTTAGGTCACCTTCCTCATAATCCAAATATGAGGATTATAGGTGCTTTTCCAAGCCCATGTGCTGGGCCATCCCCTTCTCTTTTTTTTTTTCTAAAATTATCCTTGTTAAAAAAGAAAAAAAAGGGGAGGATTATAGATTATGATCTTGCCACCAAAGAAAAGTTGCCACCAAAGAAAAGTTTTTGAGACATTCTATTTGCTTCACAAGGGAGACTAAGATGTGAGAAAACTAGCTTTATTAATGAAATTATTACATGGTGATATATATGCTTTGGTAGTATTTTATAACATTTTTGACACAACTGTTACTTTAGCTTCCTTTTAACACCTTTTACAAAGAACTGACTGCCTCAAGTTGAAGCACCACGTCATTTCCTCTTCAAAGTAGCTTTTTTTAACTTCTTTTTCCAACATAAATCAGCAAAGGAGTCGTCTCCTCCTTTGTTGGAAGCCATGATCAAACAGAACACAGAGGGAATTCAGGTTGAGCCACGTGTTAATATAGCTTCTGCATAATCTCTCTACTGTAGCACCCCTGCATCTATGAAATGAAATGGTTGAGCCACTCTACAGAAGCCCTTATGACAATAGCAGCAGAAATTCACTCGCTGAAGTGGTAAAACCTGGCCTCATACCTTAATGGATTGCACATTGCAATGCAGTTCATAGAAGCTTTGGATGGGTGAGTTGACTGATTGTGCATCATTCATTGATAAGTAGGCAGTAATT